AGTCTGGGTTCCCCCCCCCCCCCAGGTGCCTGTCGGGGCCTGGGTTTCAGCTGTCCACACCACAGCAGTGGGCAATGAGCTTAAAGCCCCTGATGGCTCTGGACGCTGACTCTCACCAGTGGCTATGGATGAGATATTTCAATTTCTATTTCCCAGACTCAAATCCCAAGCTTTAAAAGAAAAATACAACATTGAATTTTATATATGATGTTTTAATTAAGAAGAAATTGTATTCAAATTATTTTATTTGAACTCATATTCAAAGCAGAAACTTTGAACTTCAGGATTACAGATGAAAATACAAAAGTCTACTTTTTTGGGGGGTAAGAAGTCATACAAGCCTGAAAAACAACAGTTTTGTGATGATGCTACTTAAACTCTGCAAATTTAAGTACATTTTCAAGCTCAAACTTGGCTAACAGTTTTATCCAACTCTAGCAAAGTCAGCATGATTTGAGTAGACAACTTGAGTTTTACACTATGGCTCTCAAATCACAAAGCTCAGATTTGATTTCCAGTAAGTCTAATCAACATTTAAAGTAAGTTAGACAAAAACCAATTTTATAGACTTTTTCAAGTATGAGGAAACTGCAACTGTTCATTTAACTGCAGTTTAACGCATAAATTCAAATTTGTAGTTTCTATTGTCAAATCAAGCCAAAAAGACCATTGCAGACTAAAAGTTAATGTGATTCTGCAGGGTACAGTAAGGAGATATTTAAAAAAATCCTATCGTCATATTAGTACTTAACATCTGTACAGCATTTACTTTCAAGTATGTTCTAAGAGTCACCTTTTAACTTTCAGAGTTAACTTTCAGAGAGATAAGTGACTAACCTATATTTTATCTATTAGGAAATTAAGGCAAAGAAGAATTTAGGAGTCAGTAGTTCTATTCAAAACTAGAAAGTGAATCAAAATACTTTGGCTTTGCTGGAATAGGTCCCTTTCCACTGAGTTTTATCTATTAATCTACATTTCTACTGAAAGTTAACTCCATTTTGTGACCAGTATTTTTAATTTACTAGAATAGACCCTTGTAGCATTGCTCAGTATTTCTAATAGGATGTTTAAAAAAGAAAAAACAAAACCCAACCCTTTGTGCTTTTTGTTCTTTCTTCAGAAATAAGGAGTGTTTAAAACTGATGGTAAAACAAATATAGTAGAGTTTTCATTAAAATAGAAAGAATTTGACTTAAAACATTTAATTCATTTTTGGCATTAAATAACGCAGGCTATACATGTAATTTTCCGTTTTCTTGCCAAGAATAAATCTTACAATTAAAAGTTTACTTTCCTGTGAAACATGGTCTACTAAAATATGTGTTGCTCATTATACTTTTTATTATAGTTAAAACTGACCTAAATTTTTCTTCCCCCCAGTGAAAAGTTAAGTGTATACTTATAAGGTAGTTAGACCTCAAGTTTTTTGTTTCATAGGAAGGAAGTCCTCCATTATGTGGATCTATAAAATGAACTGGAGAGGCAGGAAGCTGATAACTTGATTTGTCTTCTTAATGGCTTTGGCTCATGAATAAGTGATAATAGTTCTGTTTTTCTTATAAAAAGAAATGAATTTGTATGATAGGAATCCGATTTGTCACATTTGTTCTACTTTTTAAAGGATTTATAATTACTAAGGCATCCTTTATATTATTTATAAGACAACACTTTAACTGAAAGCCATTCTTTGACCACAGTTACCCATTAGCTGAAATTCAGGAAAGAGAACAGGTCTGATCACCAAATCAATAAATCTAGCCATTGGCTGACTAAAAGCTTCCTTTAATCTTCTTCCTATTAGGTCTTCTTTTGAATTAAAGCATTCCCTCTATGAATTATTTATGTGAATGGTAGGTTGTACAGACAGATCACATATAACTTGTCATATAAAAAAGATCAAGGAACCAAAAAAAAAAAAAATCCATTCAGCATTATTTAAGAAATCAGAGTATTAGTCAGGATGTTAGAGCTTAGAAAAAGGGGGTGAGACAATATGTCTAAAAAGCTTTGGAGAGAAATAGAAAAGTCAAGTTTACTTCCTGATTAGAGCAGGATGATTCCCAAAGCACAGTTAAGTGTCTGGTCCAGACAAGCTATTAGCGATGAAGTAGTTCCCCTTCACTGTCAAGGTTTTCCCCAGAGGTAATGCCTTGATTCTCAATTTTAATATTTGATCTTGTTTCTTTTAGCTTTGTCATCTTGCCAATAAGCTCTACACATTTCCACCAAGCTGAATGCTTTCTCCACCTTGGAATTTACACTTTTCAGATATCCAGGGTATCACTACAGAGAAAGGGGTTAGCCTTTCTAACTTCCAACCCTGTAATATTTTATAATTTTTACTCTTATTTCCCTTCCATGGTAAAAGATTCCCTTCTCAAGTCTTTACATTTCTACTTGCCACATTTCTTACCATTTTAACAAAGGAAAATACAAACCACCTCAAGAGTAAATATGTCCCTTCCTTGCCCTCATTAATTAGATCTACTTCAAAGCTACATATATGGCAGTATTTTGAAAATGAATTATTAATATCTTAGTTTTAAAAAAGGGAAGAAAACAAGAGAAAACATATCACAACAAGCAGTTAGAATTATATGAAAAGCTACTTAGATCTTGACTTTCATATAAACACTAATTTTTTTAGTATTATAAAAGACAACATAATTATATTTATTTTTCTTTATAAAACTACCCTTTAACACAATATTCATTAGTTAGTCTTCCCTTAGGATTTTTCTGTACTAATAGAAAGTTATTTTTAAAAGAAAAGTATCTAAAATAATAATTGTTTCACAGAAACAGAAAGTCATCTTATCAAATTCTGATAAAAAATTATAATCATGGATAATCTTATTATACTACTAATTTTATTTCTTTCATCAAAGGTGGCTATTTAGATTAATACACTGGTTAATAAAGTAAGTTTCTCAGTGAGCTACAAAGTGGCAAAATAAAGATGAGGTAGTGTAAGACTTTTCTACCTTTGTGGAAGATAAGTATCACCTTTAGAAGAGCTATTACTTGACAATGGTGTTAGGATATTCTGGGCCTCATCAGTAAAACATGTCATTTTTGCCTACCCTGCCAGCCCCAAAAGATGTCATTTTAATAGCTATCCCTCATTCAGATTAACAATCTTGAGATCACTGAGGTAAAAAAATGCTAAAAGGTATGGTAACAGATTTTTCATCCTTAATTTTATACTAACGGCTAAAATTGTAAAGGTATTAATGATAAAAGGTCATCTTTATGTAAACAGCAGAACTACAAAACAAAATGCTATTTCAACATAGGGCATGAGGATAAAGAAACATCATTCTGTTAAGAGTTTTCTAAATAAAATTTCTTTGATTCAACTAAAAGCACCTTCCTAATAACAGCTAAGCCAGCATCAAGAAATTACTGTATTAAAAATGCCAATTTGTACCAAGCAGGAGACAGATTATGACCAGAAAAGTTGGGCAACTGCTGAAGTGTATGAGCAAAATAGATTTAGCACTCATCTATTCTTTAAAAAGGAAAATTGAAAACTTAAGAAGTTTAAGCAATACTGAGTTTATGTTAAGAGAGAAGGGGAATAATTCTGAACGAGAGAGTACAAATGATTGAACAACTCAAAGAATGTAATCAATGGGGTTTTGTTCTGCTGTGTAGTCTGAAAAACAAGTCTATCAATACACACACACACACACACACACACACACGAAAGAGATAAAATATCATTCCGATGACCTTTATTAGATATAGTGGGCTAATGTTGTTTCTAGAAATGCTTCATGTTTTGGGATAGTAAATTTAACCTATTACCCTTATTGCCCGGTATTATTTGGTATGGCAGAAACTATATAGTTTCTGTCAAATAGTTTTCCTTTTTTTTTTGAGGCCATATTAAGATCTAATTCTGAAGATAGGAATGATTTAAAACTTGGAAATAAAAAATAATTTTAAGTTTCCTGAATGTTATACTCATGTTTAATTCTTGAATATTTAATTTAAAATAGTGACAAATTACTTAGTAATCTTTGGTTAGTAGTGGAAATTTATGGCTGTTTATAAACTATGGAATCTCTTCAAACTAGGAGGTTTAGAATTTCTATAAAAGGGCTAAGTAGAAACAACATTTCATAAGCAAGTACAGAAAGCCCCATAGTTTCCTTAGTAACTACTAGTTACTATTAGAGTTATTCTTTCTAAAGCTTCCATTTGTTTTGAAGATAGCTTAACTCTTTTCAGGTTGCAAGACCTATTAAAAAAATAATAAATGACCCTGTCTCACTGAAAAAGAAGAATAACTGTAGCTCTAAAGTGTCATTTGATTCTCACGAAACAATCAGCCAAATTTAATACTGCTTTAAGGTTTAAATAAACACATAAAATTAAGATTTTAAACCATCTTGCTACCTTTAACATGTCTATTAGAGAATTATAAAACTACATTTAGTATGAACTGTGAATTATCACACACTTAGCTTTACTGATGGATTTTAAAACAATTCATTAAATATGGGATGGGCCCCCGGCGCGCCTCCCCGTGGTGCCGGGGGTTACGCTGCTGCGCAAGAGCATGAGTTTGCGCATAACTGGGGCCCCAGCCCGCTGCAGGCAGCCCTTTTAACCGCGAGCGACACGCCAGCAGACCAGGCCTTTGCCGGGGTTTGCCTCTTGGGTCTCAATTCTTAGGATGATCCCTTTGGGAACGGATAGTAGGCTCCTCGACTATTGCGTTTCCTGTGTGTGCTGTCATCTAATAAACTTTAGGTGTTATTTAAAAAAAAAAAAAAAAAAATATGGGATGGGTAAATTATTATTTTATGTCTAGGAATACCAGTGATGTAGTTAACAAAACATTTTACATATAGGAAATATATAGAAGTCTTTTTAAAGTATGAAAAACAAAATGTTCAACCATGCTTGCATTATCTACTAAATTTTAAATATACCTGTATCATGTAAAAATTACAAGAAAAAAGAATGCACAATTTATGATTAAAAACCCCCTAAACATCTGATCAAAAATATTCACTAATCCTAGTGTAGAACTATAAACAATTAATGTACCATAAAAAAACATAAACTGATCTGGAAGTAAGATTTGGGGCAGAAGCTATTTTTGGATTCCAACTGCCCTTGTGGTAAAAATAAAATTGGCAGAGTAAGTGCTGTAAAATATTCGAATGCAAACAGATAATCAGATTTTTCTACCCTTTTCTTAGCACTGCTGGTCTGGTGCATCAATCCTGAGTACTCTAACCTTTGATTTATAGTGATATTCTTTCAGATACAATTTCATAGAAGAAGGAATTGGGAGGGCATCAATACCATCATAGGTTGTACAGTTACAAATAACTGTTCTGCATATATGTTGCAAGGAAAAGGGGAAAGTCCGAATTAAAGGAGTGGATAAAAGTGGCTCAAAGAACATACAGGCGCTTGGGTCCTTATAATGTTCTAGGAGCCCAGTAATGTCAGGAGAATGGAAGACACAAGGATCATGTGCATCAAAGCTAAAGTTGTGATTCCATTGCTCAATTCTAGCATGAAGAGAGCGACTATAGCGCCTAAAACTAACAGAGAATAAGTAGTCTTCTTGTGCTGAGTCTCGAAGTAAAAAGGTTCCCTCTGGTTTTCCTTCTAATAGAGCTTCGGCTGCATATTTATCCATTACTCCCCAGTAACATGGGTTGTTATTGATTTGAAGGAGATCTGGTACAAGACAGTGGACATAATCAATCTGGGTGTGGTACTTTGGAGGTGTTTCCAACTGCAGGATTTCATCATCCAGTTCCCATTTGGGTTTGTTTCTTTTTCTGGAACTTGTGCAAAGTGTTATAATTTCATCACCTGAATCCATATCACTGTCTTCAATACTATTATTGGAAACAAGGTTTATCACTGAGCCAGTCACAGGATCACCTCTGCATGAAGCATTGTTGGTAGTTACGACACAGGGCTGAACACTAGTATGTGAGAAACCATTTACGTCTTCTTCCATGTTCCTTCGTTTTAGTGGACCATCCCTCATTTCACTCTGAGACAAGTCAGTGCTTACCCAATCATCTGATTTGGGATTTATAGGAGCAGTGTGTCGTTTAATAAAATGCCACCTAAAAGCTAAATCTGATCGAGGTGGAAAAGGACACTTATCTAACATGAGTTCACTGATATGAATTTTTCTTTTCGATGAAAGTCCTGAAGAGTGCCGACTACTACAATTCTTTATTGGGAAACACTGCCCCACTGCATCCTGTAGTTTTTGTTTAAGAGATCGGCCTAAAAATCTATGCCCACAGGAATGATCTAAGTCCAGTTCAATGGAGGAACAGCTGTGCTTCCTTTCTTGGCTCCTTAAAGGGACTTCTGTTTCTTCTATTGCATCCACTGTTTCAGCATCCGAACAACTCTCACCCTTTTTTGACCAAGATAACTTCTTTCCACTCCAAACATAACCATCCTTTCTGTCAGCACTTCTACTCCGAGTAGTTTTAGGCCTTACATCTACATTTTTACTATTTTCAGTATTTTCTGCCATTTTAACAAATTATCCAGAATGTCCAGTGTTATAAATACTGCTCTTTCAGTTTTTCCGGCAGGAAGTTTCTTCCGGGAACTTTATGGATGTATCTAAGGGGGAAAAAAATTAAACACCATTAATCATCTGTCATCTACATGGCATAATTTTATTAAACCTCAATTTGACTAAAATGAAAAAACTTACTAGTACATGAGTAAAATGAGTACTAGATATGCAAGAAGGCAATTTCAAGGTATTTTGCTCCCACTAAATAAACAGCTTAATTATATAATACGAATTCCAAAATGCAACAGACTCATGAATTTAAGTTCCTATCCGACAGGTGATTTGGCTAACTGATTGGAAGAGATCTATATTTGTTCCTATCCCAAAGAATGGTGACCCAACAGAGTGTGGAAACTATAGAACAACCTCACTGATTTCACATGCAAACAAGATTTTACTGAAGATTATCCAAAAACGACTGGAACAGCACATCAGCAGAGAACTGCCAGAAGTCCAGGCTGGGTTTAGAAGGGGT